ATGACGTTTGTTTTTTTATTTGATCATTGCACCAAGTCAACTGAATGTGAATATTGGCATTTGCATCGTATCGCTGAGATAACTGCAATCGTACCAATATTCTACGGCACAATTATGCATAGACTGAATAATGCACAGCGCATTGAGGAGTGGTAACGTTTTTAACAATTGGAAAAAATCGTCTGTCTCTCTGGTTTCGAAAAACATTACTGTAGCTGTTTGATATTTTTACATTTTCAAATCTTTCATGTAATTTGCTTCCTTGTAACAAACAGGGAGTTCAAAGTTTCAACACCTACGTCCCCTCAAATACATTGAACTGAACTGGATTGGTCGCCCAAACGGCGCTTTTTCTTCCCTTCGAATGCATTCGGTATCCGGAACCAGGTGAGTAGTAGTATTATGATTATGCAGAATCACTCTTCGTTTACATGGGAATATTGCCGACTGTATGGGATTAGAGAAGCCTTCATAAGTTTGCGACGATGAATCAGCCGGATGCAAACTAAGCTCATACGTAGGAATCAAAGTTTAAAAGGCACAAACGCAAATATAAATGTGGTGACTATTTGTCTCTATCGAATGTGCGTCTTTATACAGTCGTACATTGCAGACGATTGTTACTTGGACTAACAACATGTGAAGAAGAACATAACAATGATTATTCACTAGAGCCTTCTTAGTAGAACCCTGGCACTTCTGAGTCAGTGCTGCAGTGCGCATTGCATACAATTTGCCCCATATATGCCACAGAGTAACAAAAGACACTTTACATTATGCTCCAAAACAGCAAGTAGAACGTTGTTTTGTGTGATTTCGAGCATTAAAACAGATATACGACAGCCAGTGGTGGCCACGTCTACGCCAATTATCGAGGAAGCCTTGCGGGACTACGATGTTGGTGTGTAGCGCAATAACGTAAAATTAACTTTTCAATATTGGAAGCACCTCCGACACTCGTGTTGTTGACAGAATTCTGATGGCCGATTTGGACTGAAAAACTCCATCTGGAGATGACGTTTGCATTTATCGGGATAGACATACTCCTATTAATAGACAGTTTGGGTGTACACATAGGATTATGGTGGTCGCCCAACCACCTTTTCAAAGTTTGAACTGATGTCCATGGTGCATTGTTACTCCTTCTATTTTCATAATGCATGTTCGGATAGTGTGTCACAAACTGCGGTAGGAAACTGTACGAAGAGTGTAATAAACGTATCGGTCACTTGAAGTCAGTACAGGTTACCCGAAAAAATGTTGCACCTCAGGAAATTTCCGGCAATATAGGAAATCCTTTTAGAGGGCTCGACCAGGATGAGCATGCCAAAACTGTCTCCATTAACCCCAGTCAAATTACAGGCACATTTGGCCAACAAACATTTGTTGAAAATTTCAGCCCTGCAATCTGAGAAATAATATAGTTTGATTGAACCTCTTCCCTTCGATAGGACTTTCGGCATGTGTACTACGAACGACGCATTGCATAGACCCCAAGCTCACCTAGGCTAATATTCGTTCAAATATTTGTGTATGATTTGCCTGGGGAGTCCAAACAACCACAGAATAGGAATCTGCCTGAAGGCAACAGCTGTACAATGATATATGTAAAAGAAGTTATATGTTTTGAGAATATGTAATTACTGCCAACCGTCAATGTCTTGGCATTTCCTGCATAAGGTCTGCGATGTAATAAATACAGAATACAAATATGATACCTTTCGATTGGACGGGAAGCTGTGAGCATGCATTAGATACAAAACTCCTGAATGGAAACTGAAGTGGATTCCGGAGCACTCGAGTTGTTGAGGTAGGGTATTGAGGGAAATAGCTACTGCACGAAGAAAGAGGGGGCGAGAACGGAGCACAGTCACCGTAAGAGCCCGGCTGATCACCCTCGCTTTATCGAAGGTGAAACTGTGGTTCTGCTGTAGTGTGTGGCCATAGATCAGCGACAGCTTATCCTTGGTGCTGATTGCCAGCTGATGTTCGTGCAATTGTGTGTCGAGGCCTTTACCTGTTTCGTTAACATACGTTGCACCACAATCGCGGCATGGTGTGCTACAGACCACCGCAGATTGTTCTGTTACTGGCAGTGGGTCTTTGGGTCTCATGATCTACTCTCTGATTGTTGGTGTTGGTCTATGGGCCACACCGATCACAAAAGGTTTCAGGATTCTTTACGTCGCCTCTGAAATGTTATTCACGTAGGGGATCGTGATCCAGAATTTCGGCTTCTCCTCGTTCGAATGGCCAAAGTGGGGCTATCTGACACACTTGCGTATGAATGACTTCGGGTAACCGTTGGCCTTAGAATGGGGCACGTAAGTACTTCACCTCCCTCTTCCTGCCATTATCGTAGCTACAGTGCGTTTGGACGCGTTAAAAAGGGTCCCGACGCAACTTCTTTTGTGACCGACGGGGTGGTTGCTTCTGAAGTGAGAATGCGCCTATTGTCAGTCGACTTACGGTAGACCGTCGTCTTTATATTACCGTCTGACAGTGTTGTAACTTGCACGTCAAGGAAGGCCATCTGATTGTTGACCTCTTCTTCCATAGTGAACTGCGTGTCGGAAAAGATTGAATGCAACAGTGCTTTGAAAGCTTGCAAGTCGCCGCTTTTTATTATGACGAATGTGTCGTCAACACATCTGACGCAGAACCTCGGGCAGTACGAGCCGAATACAGGCCGCTCGAACCTCTGCAAAACCGATTCGGTAATTAGTCCAGACAGAGGCGAGGTCATCAGCGTCCCCTTTCTTTGCTCGTACACGTGGCCATTAAATATGAAGAGAGTCTTTAGGCACAATTCTAGGAGCTCGATAATGTGCATTCGCTTGAACCGTTGGTCGGTCACACCCTATATTTCTTGGAGAAGACCGTCGACAGTGTCAATGGCCAAGTGAGTAGTGGGCAACATCAAAGGACAACATCACCTCTTCTGTATCCACTTTACGGTGTCGGATGCGAGTCAAAAACTTCCAGCTGACTTCACTGCCTACCCTTAGTCCTCGAGGAGGAAACGAGGTCGCTGATACAGCCACTTTGACTGCCCCAAGTTTGGGGTACCACGAAAATAAACGAGTGGACAGAGGGGCGTTCCTGGTTGGTGTTCCTTGGGCAGACCGTCAAAGCTTGATATGGCAGTGTCAGTGACTTTTGTTAACAGGGCTTCTCTTCTCACGAGGACGTCAGCTTTCTTTAACTTGCTTACCGACTTGTTTATGTTGTTTAAAAGCTTTTTTGAACTCGCTGACAGACGGAAGCACATAAGATTCAGTGCTCATTCACTGGTTCCCCAGTTTAGTCCAGTTTTCGGTCTTTTCCATGACGATGTGTAGCTCCCCGTGTCATCGGGCAGGGTGACGATATTCTTTACTTTTCGTATCCCGAGAAGCTCCCAATCTTCTGCTTTTGAAATCGTCATCTGGGGTTAGTGCTTGAGAAGTATGAAAGAGGCCTGTTGCTGCATGGCGTGCTTGCACTCCTCATATACCTCGCACTTCTGGTGTGATGATTCGAAGGATGCCATGAAGTCTTCCGGTCGAGCATCTTTCGTGCTGAACTTAATATCAGGGGATAAAACCGCTAGCTGTTGCTGCGTGAGACGATGGAGGGACAGGTTGCGAACCAGGAAACCAGCAGAGGAGGGCTGATTCGGCGGACTAATTTTCCTGAATTCCTCGAACAGTCGATCATCGAGTTGATCCATTAGTGTAATTGTCTCATATAATTTCAGGGTTGTGTATGCAGCAATCGTTGGTTTATCATAGTATTGCAGGCACCTGAAGGTAGCTGAAAGCAACGTGAACCTTGTTCCTGTTTTCGGACGCTTGGATTCAGCCGTAATGATATTGTCGCAGATTCGTTTTAGCGGATTGTTCTTACAGACATACTTGCTGGATGTTCACCTTTGGACCTCAGCCTATCATCGGTCGTGGAAAAAACCGACGGTAGGGTTTAAGACAATAACCCCCCACGACCAGAAATGTTTAACGAAATCTAAACTCATATATAGCGGCCGAGGGCGTCAAGGACAGCACACACTGAGGAAGCGAAGTGCCGGGAATAGATCATGTCTAAGACCGATCTGAATAGAGTCGTTAACATGCCACAATACTCATCCATACGAAGAGAAGAAGAAACGTTAGGTTAGCAAAACGGTATAATCGGAAGAGATTGGAGCTGCGAATACATATAGCAGTAGTTAATTGTGCAAACGGGACGAGTTACAACAAGGGAGTGACCCGTCTGGATGATGAGGTGGCGCTGGAATGCCAGTAGAATAACCGGTGGAGGATGCAGCACTGTGGGAAACTGTAGGGGAGGGCCGAGGGTGGTGCCGACGTCGAGGGGGAAAGAAAGCGTGCTGTGAGAGCGTTGGGGAGAGTTGCGGGGAGGGGGTCGGTAGTAGAGCGAGGGAAGGGCACCACTCGTCTTCATCGACACGCCGTTACACCATCACCATCCAAGGTCCGCGCAGGAAGTGTCAATTCACTCAAACAACTCTACCCTGCCAGCACATGGCCCCTTCATAGGCGGGGCTGGGAAGGGGCTGGGTGGGACCAGAGCCCCCTCCGGATTGAAACATTTTGAAGCCTATTTGCACCGAAAGTTATGTTACAAAAGCACCACTCATTGTACCTTCTTTGGCATTAAAAGGAGCTAATTTATCAAAAGTGGCTTATAAATCATGGAAAAAACATTCGTTTACGCCCACGGGTCGCGGATAATACCGTGCGTCAAACAATGCTGTTTTCATGCTCTTAATAACTGTCTTAGTTAATTTATGTATCTTATGCTAATTGTTTGGGTATTTACTCACAAACCAGTTCAAGTAGTCGACTTGTATGTCTATGTATGTGCTAATTAGCATTGGTGTTCGCAGTCCACTTATGCAAATTTTTTTATCGTTTGTTCACTGAATATTCAAAGCAATTATGAAGCGTAATTACTGTGGCTCTCACCGAACCACCATGTACAAGCGTATTAGGAGCGAGATGAAGGCATATTATGAGGCCACTGAAGAGCCTGAGTCTGAGGTTCCCTCAACGTCGACAGCAGTTGGCAATCAATCCCCTGAACGAGAAATGCCTATTCTGAGCTCTGAAACTTCTGCCGGCAGGTATTATGTGTGTGCGCCTCAGGGGACTCATCATACAGGTCGGTATTTTAAAGGAGTGCCAAAAGTGGGTGGAAATCTGGCGTCCCCTGCGCATTTTTTCGCTGGTGGGGCCAGGCGGGGCTGTCGTGTTGAATTTCCCGCCACAGCCCCTTCTATAGCCCCACCAAGCCCCTTCATAGCCCCCTCCAGCCCAGCCATATTTGAGGGGGTAACGCGCGGCTGGTGCTGGCAGGGTTAATTAAAGGTTGACCAGGCCCAAAGGCTAGTTGGTCCCCTCACCAAATGGCAATTTTGCGCTAATAAACTTGATCATCTGCTGTTCCCGGGTACCTGTGAATTTTATTTCGGTGGTGGGGCCAGGCGGGGCTGTCGTGTTGAATGCTCCTCCAAAGCCCCTTCCACAGCCCCGCCTAGCCCCTTCATAGCCTCCTCTAGCCCCGCCATTTTTGATGGGGCTAGGCGGGACTAGGAGGTGCTGGTGCTGGCAGGGGGAGGGGAGGGATAGTAACTGTCTGAAACTCCGCCGACAAACTTCAGTATTCGTAGTTATCAGTGCGCTTAGTGTAACTCGCAGACGAACCCGAAAAATGGAGATAAAAACTGAAACCATTTGCTGATGCCACAAGTGTACCTGACGATACCAAGTCTGATCAAAAATGTGTCAGGAGTGGGATTCGAACCCACGCCCACAGAGTGGACTGCGACCTGAACGCAGCGCCTTGGACCGCTCGGCCATCCTGACACGATAGCCGGGGCTAAAATATTAACTAACTGCAATACCTCTTAGGTCTTTAAGCCATCTAACATCTCGGTTCGAGTTCAAAAACTGACAAGTGCAACATGTTTGAGCTCTTCTTTCACTGAAGATTACATTCCCATCCCGAATATACCAAAGTTTTTATTTATATATCTTAGTCAAAGGTGAAAGCTAAGGTCGCCGGAAACAAATTCCTTCAGTGCAACCACCCTTATTTTTGTTCTAAATTCTTGAGACATGTCATTCGTTCCTACTCTACAACGTTTAAACTCGCTACCCCTACCTATAGTGCTTACGACTTCCAGTATGTCGATTTCGAAAGGTTAGGGCGGACATTTCCGCACTTCTTCTAAATTCACAAACCCTTGAACTGTATTTATGGAGGCAGGCGACCAAGGCAAATTACTCACCGATCCAAACTGCATTTGCCATAATAAAACACGGAAAGTGGATGTGCTGGATTCGTCGGGGTTGACATGTAGAATTGCGAAGTCAAGGTAATCACTCACAAGCAATCCAGGCTAGGGGACTAGTCTCCTAGGTTATTTCATAGGCAATGCAGGAGTAGTTTCTGTTGGATACGAAGACAGTGAACAATACCAGTGTGTGCTCACAGACAATTTGTGTCAAGAACGTATTCCTTGACTGAGGTAGGTGCCTGCGAATAGTATTTAGTGAGTTTATATACATTTGAGATTACTTCGATGATCCACAGCAGTTTTCTATGGTAAAGGTGTGTACGGCGGACATTGACATGACTATCAGCTAAGCACCTTTGGAGAATACACTCAAAAATATTATCTGCATTCCACAGGGTACACACTGCATTTTAATAGAAATAAATGACAGTTTTTAGGAAGTCACTTACTGTTCTTTCGCCCTCACGAACAGTGTGCCCGAGCCCTACAAACGCACAGTCTACATAGCGAGAGGTTTGCGAGCACTGCAGGGGAGAAGTGGTCGTAGTGGTAGAATACCCGGCTAGCACCAGCCCCGTCTGACCCCGTCTAGCCCCCGAGGCCAGACGGGGCTGGGTCCCGTTTGGGCGGGGCTACGGACGGGGCTACGACTGGGCTGTGGACGCGATAGCCCCGTCTGGCCCCGTCCTCGAAAAAAACGCGCAGGGGAACACCATGCTCTCCTTGATATTAACCCCTCATTTACGTTAACAGTATTATCCCTTTCCTAATTCTCCGCACAGTAGGTTATACTATTCTACTTTTGATCGCTGTACACCCATAACCCTTACTTTTACTAAGTATTACCCAACCTCTAACTATAGTGATTGCGCCGACAACTCAAACATTTCCCGAGGTCTACAGGAACAAAGTCAGTGGACAGCAAGTACTGGCATGTGACAGTTTACTGAACATGTATAACAAGAAAAAGTGGTGCAGTAGTATGTACAGGAGGCATATGAGATACATATATGTATTGGTCAGTCAATTAAATGGCAGTGTTCTGTTGACGAAAGTTTTCATCCACGGCAGGCTCCTGTAAGAAAAACAAAACAGTTACAATAATAAATCGATAATCCTTTTCATCAGCATATTTGGTAATATTTTTGTTTTACTAAACGGCATGCGTGGTGTATCATTTAAGCTGCCCTAAGTAACTTTAACTTAAAAAATAAAAAAATTGCCGGAAATATTATTATGTTACAAATATTTGATAAATACATTTAGAGGGGACTAGAGGAATAATGAGGCATCTTTTTATTGTTATTATGCCGTTTAAATCCCCTTTAAAACTATTTATCATCCCTGCCAACACATGGCCCCGCGGGCCAGACGGGGCTAGATGGGGCCAGGCCCTGTCCAAATTTTTGTGAATTTCCATCCTTTCTAATCACGTCATTCTGCATTATATTAGTCAGATTTTGCTCTATTATTGTTAAATATAAGTTTTTTTACTTGTATAGTGCGTTTTCAGTCGAATAAAATCGAGAGAAAGTAATTTTTCCCAAGGGCAAATATTGGCCTTGTTTAAGTCGGTCATGTACACGCCCACGCGGACGGCACCTATACGCTAACCGTGTGCACACCAGATCGATACAGCTGACCAATTCATACTCCATATCGGGCTCGTTTCTACTGCAGTACGTTATCCATTTACTTGTTCCTTTCTTTTATGCGATGCAATGTGTCATTGAAATAAGTAAATGTTTAGTTATAGTCTCTAGCATCGTACTTAAAGTTATTTATAAGAATGGCACGTAATCTGACTGCTTGAGTGTAGTATATGGCGATGTAATATGTGTTAATGGTATTTATATGTTAATTCTAAGCAAATATGGAAAGGAAATACTGGGGAATTCATCGCAGTACAATGCACAACATGACTAAGCGGGCGAAGTTGGCGTACTATGCCGCCACCGATGACCCCTCGCTCTCGTCTACGTCATCTCTCGTAAGGGAGCCATCACCCGAACCCCCGATGCCGCACCTTAGCCCTGAAGTTAGCATTGGCAGGTGTTATATGCGTATGTTATTAGACGATGTAGACGACGACCAGGTTGCAGATGAAAGCTCGAACCCGTTCAGTGGCAATTGCTTCCTGACAGATTTGAGGGAATTCTGCTTAAGTGTCCAAATGCCGCAGGCAACATTCAAGTTGTTGTTTCAGTTTTTTGCGGAAATACCACCCAGAGGTGCCCAAGGACCCGCGAACTCTCATGCAGACACCGCGAGCATGCGTTACTGAGTCCCTTTCTAACGGCAGCTACGTCCACCTGGGCCTTAAACGCGGTCTGTTAGGTGAGCTGCAACTTCGGCCGTCGGCCTTGTTGCCGAAAATACGGGTTCAACTCCACATTGACGGAATGAAGCTGTTTAAAGGGTTTGGCCAGTGTCTATGGCCAATCCTCGGTCGAGTCAGCTATCCTGTCCGTGGACTGCCGTGGACTGTTGGAGTGTTCTCTGGTTCCGGCAAGCCTGAGCCTTTGGATGTATTTCTTGCCCAGTGCATCTCAGAACTGAAGGATATTCTGACCAGCGGACTTCAGGTCCAGGATACGGATGACGTAGTTGAGCTCGCCAACGTCATCTGCGACACGCCTGCTCTGTCCTACGTCCGGCAAGTAAAAACGCATAATGGCTATTACGGCTGCGACAGGTAATTGACATAATGGACGAAAATGTAATCCTCCTAGGTGTTGTCATACGGGAAGGCCCGTGGCAAACCGCATGACGTTCCCCGTACACAGCGGGCGTCTGCGAGCTGACAGGTCATTCCGCATGAGAAGTCAGGAGCGGCACCACAAAGGCACTTCACCTTTCGAGGACTTGCCTATTGATATGGTTTCTACCTTTCCAATTGACTACATGCACCTTATGTGTCTTGGTGTCATGCGGAGGCTCCTGCATATGTGGCGGCCGGCTATTGGGAAACAGTCCGTCACAATTAATGCCTCCATAAAACAGTGCAGTCAATGTTTGCCTGCTGAATTTTCACGAAAGTGCAGACCTCTTGATTGTCTGGAATACTGGAAGGCCGTGGATACCGACAGTTCCTCTTGTACATCGGTCCTGTAGTCCTAGCTTTCCATCTGGATTCCTCCCGTTATGAACATTTTCTTCTTTTGTTTGTTGCCGTTTTTACATTTTCCCATCCCATTTTGCACAAATCCTTCATTGATTTTGGACGTTTGCTATTAGATAAATTTGTTTCCGATTCCCCAATATTGCACAGTCCTGCGGGTCTTGTTTATAATGTTTATTGTTTAGTCCACCTCCACCAGGACGTTAGCCGTTTTGGAGTCTTGGACAATTTTTCTGCTTTCCCTTTTGAATCTTTTTTACAAACCCTTCGCAGTACCATCAAGGGTCCCAGTAATGTAGCCACACAGGTGTACAAACGTCATTCTGAGAGACGTTTGCCTGAGTTGCCAACTACCTCACTGCTGTTGGACGACGATGAGGGGATACCACGGTCGTTTCAGTTGCCGCTCAGGTCGACCGCTATTCTTCACAATGGCTACGTATTGTCCACCGAGGCGCCTGATAACGTCGTGCTTATAGGAGAGCGACCGTGTGTGCTGACATCTGTGTCGGTTTCCGAAATAACATACCGCCCCTTCGAGGACTGCGTCGACCTTTTTACCAGCTCTGTTTCTTCTTTTCGTTTGTTTATTTTCAAAGTCTCCCGTTTTTCAAGCAGCACAAACACTGCCTCCCTTAGTGACATTACTTGTTAATATGTTTCTTTTCATATTGACGAACAGTTTTACTTAATCCCCCTGTTGCACACCTGTTGTACAGTGACTTAATTTGCACGTCCATTCTGTCATGCTAACATAAGCCCCAGGCTAAATTCCACCTTACCTACTACTTTTCTATTTCTCTTTTCAGTCCCAGTACGTCAATTGTAAGATGAATACAGCCCTGTTATAGGGTATTCTCGTTCTGACTCTTACAGCCATATTCGTTCGTCCTCTCCATCTCGTGTGCTTGCTACGGTCCTAACTACTACAATTTATTCATCTTACAATTCCAATATGGATCGATTCCTTAAGCCAGAACGATTCGATGCTGATCCAAATGCTCAAGACGCTTCTAAACAATGGAGTCATTGGTTTCGCACTTTTGAAAATTTCTTGTCCACGATCGATAACCTGAAACCGGATAAATTAAACGTCCTGACTAACTACGTTTCTCCGACTATGTGGGAATACATTAGTGAATGCTCCAGTTATAAAGAAGCTGTTAAATTGCTGCAAGGCCTCTACCTACGACCCAAAAACGAAATTTTTGCCCGCCATCTTCTGGCAACCTACAGACAGGAAGGCGGACAAACCCTTGACCAGTTTGCTCAGAAGCTGAAATCCTTAGCTAAGGACTGTGATTTCAAAGCCGTTACGGCAGAACAAAATCGCGACGATGCCATTAGAAATGCGTTTATCAGTGGCCTTTCATCAAACCAGATTCGGCAGAGGTTATTGGAACAGAAGACTTTGAACTTCACAACTGCCTTTGATCTGGCAAGGTCACTGGAATTGGCAGAAAGACAGTCTCTATCGTATCAGAACCCCCCGACGACCTCATTCTCTGCCGCTACCAAGCCACGCGAAGCTTCGTCGAGTCCCATTAAAGAGCCCGATCTAGTGGCTTCTACCTCATTCCATAGCAAATGTTTCTTTTGTGGATACGACAAACACCGCTGTTCTATGTGTCCCGCACGCGATGCGTTATGCAAAGGGTGCGGTAACAAAGGGCACTTTCAAAAGGTGTGCCTAACACCACGAAACCGACAAGCCTCCTCTTCCACTATGTATCCCACCATTTCCACCGTGGCATCAGCTGCTGTTCCCGAATGTCTTTCAAGAGCAGTGGTTGAATTACAAATAAATGGGACTACTTTTCAGGCCCTAATTGACACAGGTAGTTCTGAAAGTTACATTTCTTCCTCAGTGGTGCTCCGAAATAAGTGGAAGGTTCATAACTCTCGCACAAAGATATCCATGGCTACCACAGCCTTAACCAGCGCCACACAAGGACACATTTTTGTCACTATTAGATATCATGATACAATATACGAGAAGGTCAAGCTATCCGTCTTGCCGAACTTGTGCGCCGATGTTCTTCTTGAACATGACTTAAACCAAACGTCCCTGCAGATGTATTCAGTTGCTCAATTTGTCTGCGATGAATCATTGGCCGTTGTTGCGAAATCATGATTCATTGGAGATCAGTTAGTTGCCTGGCCAAAGGACCGGGAAATGCAGCGTCTGCTGGAGGCTAATCAACGGCCATCCGATGGCGCAAAATTGTATGAAGTCAAAGTCCTCAAGGACGGCCTTGATCTTGATCAGGCGCGCAGGTTAGCCCAAAATGCGGAACACAGACAACCTTTCCGCGTCAGCGCCGGATACTTTAGGAAGAGGCATGAGGACAAAGTACGTTGCCAATACATTACCTATTTTTTCATAGATATCCCCGAAGACTGACGTCAGATTCGGACGACGACGACGAACTGCACGACATACGAGGGCACACAAACGGACGGTTAGGCCCATGGCCCGTACCTCCAGCTGTACTCCGGTTGGCCTCATTGGCTTAAACGAACTTCAGGCCAACAAACGATAATATGCCGGGTCCCTCTTACTATCAACCAAGACAAGCAGAAAAGACTTCTTATCAGTAATCGTGCCTTATCACATTGTCGATGAGAACATACCTCCTCCACAACAACACTTGTTCTAAGAAATTAAACAGGAGATGGCATGTCACAGGTAAACCGATTCAAACCCTTCTTTAATATCAAATAGGGAAAAATTGGACTTCCTTTCAGAGCAACTGCTCTGCTTGAAAACCAATATTCAAGACATCAAGGTCATGCTTGCTGACAATCGACGAGCCTTGCAGACGGTGAGCTTTGTATCGAAAGAGAAGCCGCCTCTTCTTCAGCTGCCTTTGCGGACAGCGGATGCGTACCAAAACTTCGTCACGAAAATTGGATCGGACAATGACATAGCCCAGGAAATGGTATGTAAAGAAGCTTAGACACTCTTTATGGCTTATGGGTAAAACATTTGTCCACGGTGGGAGGAAGAACTGAAAAGGAGTTTATACGTAATCTCCTGACAGCCCTTCTAGGACCTCCCCTCTGCCAAAGTTTCTGTTGGGCTGGTTCCAACGACAAACAGTCTTTCGTGGGGAGACCACTGTTCAGTGTCCTAAGTGGTCTGTTTATTATGTTTTTTTAACACCTGCAGATGCAGTACGCAGCAATGAGCAGTACCGTAGCTGCCATTCAGAAGTAATTAGGCAAACAACGATTGAATGGTTCCACGGAACCCGAGATCGATACGGAGGGCGGGCAAAACGGCGCCGCACTGCTGATATGGTACATATTTTTCTAACAAGTTATTACAACACATTGAATTAGGGTTCCCCGGGATAGTTCAGCGAGCAGTCTTGACTTTTCGCAATCAATATCGGAAGACACAGTAACTTAATACTTCCAAT